GAAATTGGGTGAATACATCTCATACTACTGATTTACTGATGGTCATAAAAACAATAATTAATTGGAAAAATAATTTTTTTTCAGCTCATAAGTACACTTTCGTGTCGAGCTCATACACTGCATTATCACGACTCGAGTCCCACTGGGGATGCTGATGAGACCAGTTAAGGCACGGCCGAAACTGCAGTTCACTAATGCCTGTATGAGAAAACCTTTTATAAACGCAAGGTTGTTTGTAATTCATTGGAAACCTGGGGTCTACTCATATGAATGTGGGAAAATTCCCCTACCGTCTTATATGAAATAGGATGACAGTGGATGTCTCGAATGTCTCCTTATAGACGAAAAGTCTACACAACTATTTTGTCTTAAGAAATGTCTGACAACCCAGACACTCTTCGTTAGTCAAATCATTTCTCTACATACGAATTGTACATTTTTGGAGAGACTTTCATTTCGTATGAATGGGAATAAGGAAGAGATTCGAAGGCATATTTTCTCAGAAGACGACGACTGATTCCCATTGTATTGCAGCCGTTTGGCTTTAAAACGAGCTGGGATTTCCTTAATCATACCAAGAAGATCGTCATAGCTGGAACACATTCTTGTCAAAAGTCTACGTCAAGAGACACTTTCACACCAAATGAAACTCTCCTCAGCAAATCATGTATGGCCACTAACCTTGACGAAGTGGTCGCATGAAACTGAGTCATTTGGTGGCCAGACGGCGGGCAGAGGCGCCGGTACAAGCGGCTCGACTGAATGGCTCGAGGTGGCCTGACGATTGGGAAGACGAAATGTGGGACAGTCGGACAGGGCAAGCAGATCAAGCCAAGGCCTACAGACGGGCGCATAAATGGGGATGGGGATGGACATTGCGCTCAGTCGAGTCCTTGGGGTCGGAAGCCCGGTCATGACGTCTGAAATGGCAAAAGAAATAGAGACAATGCTGAATGTACAACAAAATTTAAGTCGGCTTGTCTTCGACACGCCTACATCAGTTGGCGTAGGTCGGTCTTTCCTGGTGTCGAAGCAATTCAAGTTAACACCAAGTCAGGAAAGTATGCATATACATACACAAACATATGATTCGAAATTGATATATGATTCGAAATAACCAAATCGCTTTGTACCTCGAAGTGATTTGGTTAGTTTAAGTCAAAAGTCAATCCATAATTATGTGTATGTGTGTGTGTATATATTTATTTATACATTCTGGCGCATAAACGCACAAATACATACGTACACAGACACACAATTATGGAGTAATGTATGAATTAAGCTGACCAAATCACTTCGAGGTACAAAGCGATTTGGTTTTTTCGAATCATATTTCAATTTAGAATCATATGTTTGTGTATGTATAGGCGCGGCTGTGTCATTCTTTAGAACATTTTATGCAATCCGGGCTGATTGAGCTTTTTATACAAAGAGTAATTGGGCTTGGACGAATCTCTTGAGATAACGGCGACCAATCAAACGATGACACCATCTTGGTCTCCATAGCTACGCTCTTAAGATGACATTTATGTGGAGACTTTTATTTTGTACTAAAGTGCACAATGAATATGCTAGTAGGCCTATCTGACTCGGAAACAATGGCCTATTCCCATCGTCCTGCAGGCGTTTGGTTTTGATACGACGACTGGTTGTCTGGCTGTTTGACTTACAGACGTACAATCGGAGCTTCCTTCTGGTCTACACAATCTCGAACATACTCTTTCTGAGGTCGTTAAACTTTGATCCTTTTTAGTATATTAATTTTTCTACACCCTGACGTACATATGTACATAGGGCAACAGACGCCCACAAACACAAACATATTTGGATATAAATGCCTTGAGTAAAATGAAAATAAAATTTCATAATCATTCTATGTACATGCATATCTATACATTTTCCTTTTTGCTTGCCACATTTTACTGCATGTCAGACAGTGTAATTGACACGAAACTTTTGTAAGAACGGGTTCTAGCTCTGAAGATGTCTGCAAAGTTGCATGACAGAAGAAAGCCCATTTTCACCCAAAACGAGAGAAGATACCTCGTTGGCTGCGAAACCTTAAGGCTGCTGCATTTTAGTACGAAACGAAAGTCTCCATAACAAGAACTGAGTTGTGATTCAAGAATCGCCGAAGGCCTCAAAATTTACCTTCATCGAACAAAGTGCCAAGCTCTAGTCCGTCGTACGACAAATTGCATCAAAGCAGAATATTGTTCTGACAAAATAGGAAAAAAATTGGGTTACCACCGTTCACCTCTTGTCTTGGTTTCGTATAATTTTGTTCCATTTCGTAAAGTATGTATTCTTGCTCTGATGTTGTCTTTAAAGGCGGTACAAATAAAAGCTTCTCACAGGTTCATCGGAGTCACAAGACGATGAGCCGATGACTTTTTCGCACAATCCAACATTCTTCACTTCGCGACACTTCTTCGGTTTCCGGTAAAATCATTTCACAAATTCTTTCCAACCAACTTTTCCTCCCATATATATATATA